CGTTCCGGTGATGCACTGGACGAGTTAAGACAAATTAAAGTAGCAGACATCGGAGGCGAAACCTCTGGGGATCTGCCGCATCTAATAAACCCGAATATTTTGTCAGATGTTATGGAGACCAAGAGCAGCTAATAAAACAAAGCAGTGCACTGCCCAAGATTAGAATAAGGATGTATAACAATCACTCAGACGAGTAGAATGAACGCGAACTTCAGTTTCATTTTCCTCCTCCTCCTCCTCCTCCTCCTCCTCCTTCTCCTTCTCCTCCTCCTCATCCTCCTCCTCCTCCTCCTTCTTCTTCCTCTTCTTCTTCTTCTTCTTCTCCGCCTCCTCCTTAGCAATGTCGGCACCATAATCAACCTTCGTTTCGCTTCTTTCTCTATCATTGTCTTTTAAATCTAAACAGGACTGTTAATTTAATGCGAAGAAGCCAAAAATATGATTCTCTCACTTGTCTAGGCTGACGTCGACGAAGCAGGACAGAAGTGAATTTGCTGGCCACTAACGGCCCATCAAAGTGTACAACGTAAGTCATCAGGGAAAATGTCGGATTACGATCAGGTGTTGTACCTCCCCGTTCAAGTGCTTTAAAGGACGGCGCACTAACACAGCAGCTCTTACATATGAGTGTGGTTTCACATTTCTGCTCGCGTTCCGGTGATGCACTGGATGCGTTAAGACAAATTAAGGTAGCAGACATCGGAGGCGAAACCTCTGGGGATCTGCCGCATCTAATAAACCCGAATATTTTGTCAGATGTTATGGAGACCAAGAGCAGCTAATAAAACAAAGCAGTGCACTGCCCAAGATTAGAATAAGGAAGCACAACAATCTCGCAGAGGAGTAGAATGAACGTGAACTTCAGTTTCCTCCTCCTCCTCCTCCTCCCTTTTCCTTTTCCTCGCCCGACCCCTCCTAATCTCCCCCTCGACTTATCGAGAACCCTGTCCACTCCCTGGTCGTAGACATAATCCTCAACTAAATCGGCCTGGTCAAATTATTCGACGCTCTCATCCTTAACTAACTGTCGCGGGTGTGAAGGCGCGTAACAGGATAAAAAGTCTGGCTATGGCTCGATTCGATAGGGAGGAAATTGAGAGGCAGAGAAGGGCTGCAGGATCAAAACATGGCTTGGGTGGAAACGCCTTCGTTTTGCACTGAACGCATAAAAGAACACAAATCAAGACATGGTGCGACCAACGCGGTTCCCACGATGTCGGTCCAGCCGATCGTCCCGTGGGAAGGTGTACTAGCAGATGCAGTTGTCACCACGTCATAATTCCACTCACGAATCCGCGATAAGGCGCGCAGCTGGGGATGCGGTCGGCTGAATAAGAGGGTCAGTCGAAGCATCAACTGATTTCCCCCGACAATGATAACAACTTATTAAAATGCCTGGAATTACACAGGAGGCGAGTAGAACTTAGTATTTCACTCGGTACCAGTTAGTGTTTTACAGAAAAAACTCACCTTAACATTACCTGGGCGTTTTGCCGAGTTTTCTTGGGATTGTGAGTCGTGTCATCGCGACAGGCAGCAGAATATTCGCTCAAAACGTATCCTGTCCGTGCTGTGTTTAGGGAGAATTTAAAATCCTGCTAGGCCAATGGCACTTTAAGAAGTCATCACTTTCACATTGAGATCTATTTACTGCTAAACTGGGTGTCCCACCTCAACAGGCGTCCCTAACATCTTTGAAATGAACTGCTACTAAGGATGCCACACAATTTAACAGCCCCCTCTGAAAATAGGGCCATTCATAAGTTGCCATCGAGAGAAGGGTAGAATGTGAAGAAGTCAATAATTCCTAAGTCCGTAAAGATTGTGCAAATAATGAGTGGTTAGAAGTCTAACTAAGGCAGCTCTATAATCCCTCTCGTCATCCGGTCATTCTTGAGAACTAGAGTGTTTACTCACAGCGGGAGGAAGTCAAAGGCCTTAAGATAAATTCAGTTTCAGTTCTTTCCAAAAAGCAGACTCCTCGACTGACCACAGGTTTCATACATGACCAAAAATTGATCGGGTCTTGAATATCAATTAGGTCTAGGGTTCAGTCTGAGGTCGCCCAACATCCTCCTCAAAATGAAACTAATTACAGCAGGTAAGCTAACTCATGAAATGTTAACTTAAATTCCGAAATACATTTTCGTATCGAAAAGATTAATAAAAAGGTTTGTAAAACTAATCAGTCTCCAATTTAATTCTATAATATTGCAGTTATCTCTGGATGCCGTCTTTCAAAAGAACTTCCTTCCGGCTGCAAGCGGAAACTACACTCTGTAAAAGATGGCTAGTTAAGAAGCATGAATTTTTCTTATTGCTTTTCGATGTCCCTAAAAGTCTAATTATATTTCATGAAAAAAGTGCATAAAGATATTCATTCTTTCGCTCATTCGGTAGAAAATTACGTCAAAAAAGGGACATAATTCGGTTTTAAAAAAGTTTCTAATTGTGAGACTTTTTAATACCATGAAATGGCCGCACATAAAAAGTCATGTCTCTGCATTTACCAGAGTAGCTTGTAAAGTTAACAATATGGATTAAATCCAATGCTAAATATTATGAAATCTATCTGGTCTCGTCTTTATACCCTAGAGAAATGTGTGGTTTTCCGTACGCGGAAAATATACGGCTTGCAGTTTGGAAACCCGGTACCCAAATGTAACGACAGAGCGGGTTCAAAATTGTTCGGGAATTGGAAACCTTTTTGAAAACCGAAAAATACCCTTCTTTCGAGTATGAAAGTGAAAGAAGAAGTAATTTTCTAACGAATGAGTGAAAGAATGAATATCTTTATGAGTGTTTTCCATGAAATGCGCTCAGAGGCATCGAAAATCAATGAGAAATGCATGCTTATTAAGCAGTAATTTGTTGCAGAGTTTAGTTTTGCATGCAGCCGAAAGGAAGTTATTTGGAAAGCCGGCATCCTGAGGTAACTGAATTATTATAGAATTGCACTTCAGGCTGATTATTTTTACAACCCGAGTCCCTGCAAAACCGCTTCGTTTGGACACAGGCGAGACCATCGTCGTCCTGTACTTTTGCTCGTAAACTCGGTTGCTGAATGTGAGGGAGGTCATAAGAAACGGAAGCTCGATGATGTTCATTCGCTCGAGGTATTGACGGTCTTTTAGGAACAGCCGGGTATATTGCACGGGTGGGATGTCATAGGCTGGTGGCCAATTAGCACAAAGGTGTGAACAGGGGTACATGACCCTGAACTTTCGCTTGTCGCGCGTTTGTGGCATGATGTTCTGACAGCCCGGACAGCATACACTGCAGGTCTCACCATATTTTTTTACAGAAATCTGTCCATAGCTAAGCCGGATGGAATAGAGGCAAATAACGGAACGACGTCAAACGACACCACCATGTCATAATCAGCCTCCACTTTTAAATGTCGCATGCGCTTCCAAACTCCTCACCCGACATAACTGTCAACTCCGAATCCCTAGTAAGGAAACAAAGTCGTTGGTAAAGCCACTTTGACAGCCCAAAGGTTGGAGTGCCAAATAGTGGAACGATGGGGTCTGGTGGCACTCCTGGCATATGTACCTTTGGCAAGCCGTGGTGACGCGTCATCGCAGCATCAGTGGCGGTTGTGGTCAGCGCTGCCACCCTCGTGAGGGCTCATGTATTCGGACTGATTTGTTGCGCCTACTGGCTTATAGGATCCTCTGGCTGTCAATGGCACATAAGTCTCCTTGTCCATGGCAACCGTCCAAGGTCCCTTGTTAGGATACGTGTACCCATCCCTTTCATGACAGAGGGTCGAGCACCGATCGCGTCACGAAAGTCACTCGTCCCGTTGCGCCTTGGGGATCTCTCTCGAGCCCCGACAGCAGTCGCACAGCGGCGCATGGTATAGGTAAAATAATCTACCGACAAAGACAAGGCAGACCGGAGTGGCCACTTGTGGCCTGTTAGCTGTCATCAGTCAGGCATACCTAACCCCGAGGTATGCAACACCCGAGACTCGAACTCGCTATCTGTTGGCAGGAAGTCCACCGTTCAAACCATTGAGCCAAAGGCTCGTCGTTCTGTCGAGTGCGCCTCTCTGCCGCTGTTTATATAGTCATTCGCAACCGACGGAACAAAGAGCCCTGGCCAAATGGTTAGAGTGTTGAACTTTTAACCAACAGGTCATGGGTCTGAGCCACGGCGTAGGTGGGACTTACCGATGACGTCTAACAGCCCAAAATGAGCATTTTTATCTCTTTTGTCTCTGTTGGTAATGCCACTCTGTCTATATCCTCCATCTACCGTACGGTCAGAAGTTCTCGCAAGTCTTATTATTATTATTATTATTATTCGGAAAGCGGCATCTGACGTAGGCGCTGAAGGAGTAAAGTCGATATTTGTTGCTGCTTCGTGTTTTTCCAATCTCCATCTGCCTTGCATTTCTGGATCGTCGCTTCGAAAGATGCAACAAGTTCTTCTGATTGAACCGCTATTGTGTTAGACTTTGCATAATAGGATATGACCGCTAATTGTCGTCACAAGAGACGATGGGAGGACGCAATGTGAGCCAGGACTCCCCTAAGAGGAGGACTGTTTCGGTAAGCTTATTTTCTTAGATTTCTTAAACAGCTGGTCATCGCGCAACATCCTGTACATCCTGTCAAGGATGTCTGTTTAGACCGTTACCAGTTCGTGCGCCGTTAAAGCTGACAAATGCTGTTCTCTCCTTCGGAAGTATTTATGGATAGCAATGTGGCAGCCTTCTATCACTAAAGAGCGACTGCATTGTCAACCAGGGAATGAACCAGTCAACTATGCGCTCACCACCCAATGAACGCAGATGGCTCATTCATGTGCTGCATTGATCTGAAGACGCAGTCGTATGAAACGTCATCTCGCTCCAATTAGGCCTTGTCTGGTGACGACGTCCAGATGACTAGTAAAGGCAGTGATGCATTTTCTGAACTCCGACTTCGAGCAACTTCCCGGTGGTTTGGTTTTCGGTATTTGGGGCCAGATTATCAAGTGATTCAAATTTACTTGGGAGTCCACTTGTAATGGACTTCAACGGAAAGCGGTGATTTGTAAATGGGTGTTGCCATAAACACAATTTGGAATATGACAGACTTCATTGTAAATTACCCTCATAGCGCTCTTGCTGGTTCGTACCAGTAGAGCTTTGCGATAATCAGTGCGAAGATGCCAATGTTTTTAACCAGCTTTGTCTGTTTATCAGGAATAGTTGAATAAGTGATCGTTGGTAGGCAGTGTGTTTCTACCACAAATATACAAGTGTGTCTGTTGGCGTTTCAGCTGTGGGTAAAGCAGTCGATTTTGGGCCCAATTACCGTACGCATCTGCTAAAACTAACGATCTGCGAAATGGTCTTTATTTACGACATACACAGCAAATCTAAATTAACACTCAGTTTACCGGGCAACGGTATAGAGAAGGACCCCACTTTACTGTCAGTAGACTGTGGATCGCGCCATACGTGATTTATGGTAAAGGAAGTTTTATGTGTGGGGCAGCACAGTAAGCTGACAAAATGAAAGCAAACATAAAAATTGCCTGGATTTATGCCGAAAGTCTTGTCTTACGTTATTGTACGACAACGGAAATAAGAGTGGTAATTAAGCAATAAACAAAATACAAACCTCACAAAATAACGGATTTTGAGCTAAGGTGTGAGGTCATGGGAAGGAACCGTTGTTGGCAGTGTAATTTCTGCAACAGCATGCAAATGTATGCCAAGATAAAATCCCATATGACACGATCAACAGTCTACTGACAGTTAAGTGGGGTCCTTCTGTATACCGTTGCAGTTTACCGAATAATGTAGTATGCATTTTTCCCATTGATTTTCAATGGCCTTATAAATTCAGAAATATTTTATAGAAAACATGCATAAAACTATGCTTTCTTTCACTTGTAAATCATATTTTCTTTACATTTGACACCCTAAGAAAGGTTATATTTCGGATTTGAAAAGTTTCTAATTATGATATTTTTAAGACCGTTCTATGTCCATTCCTACAGCATCGTAAATGTCCCTTTATCCATGCTCCTCATGAAATGTACAACATAATCCGCACCCATTACAAAAATTTATGAACTCTATATAGAATCTTTTTAAAGGCATATATAATCTTCCTCATGCGGAAAGCATACATTTCGTAGACTGAAATCGCTAAACGCTAATGAACACTCTGATCTGGCTCAAAATTATTCGGAAATTGGAAAACTTTTTCAAAACCTAAGTATACACTTTCTTCGGGTAAAAAATGTGATAACAATGTGATTTTCTACCAAACGAGTAAAAGAAAAGCTATTTTATACATGTTTTCTACAAAATATATCTGAATTTATAAAACCATTGAAAATCAATGTGA